AGAGAGAGGGAGAGGAGGAGGAGAGAGAGGGAGATGGGGAGGAGAGAGAGGGAGATGGGGAGGAGAGAGAGGGAGAGGGGGAGGAGAGAGAGGGAGAGGGGGAGGAGAGAGAGGGAGTGGGGGAGGAGAGAGAGGGAGTGGGGGAGGAGAGGGAGAGAGAGGGGGAGGAAAGTGAGGGAGAGAAGGAGGGAGAGGAGAGAAAGGGAGAGATAAAGAAATGGTAAGAGGAGGGGAAGAGAAATAGCAAATTTCCATCTCAAACACAACCCAGCTACTTATAACAACCTGCAGCATAAAAAGGTGACACACACACACACACAAAATTAGTGGCAAACAATGGTAGACACAAAAGCCTCTTTCATCTGGATACCCCAGTCGCATTAAAACCTTTCTCAATGGGTGTCATATAAAGCTAGCACCTATGAGTAATTATACCATGGGGATTTTTAAACTTTTACCCAGGCACTGACAAAATCTTAAAATATCATTCATTAGAACGTATATAAATGATTTAGTACCTGCAGTTACTTGTAGTCTCTGCAATCACTTGCTTTGATTATTTTCCCCTTACACCAGACAACCAGCTACTCAGGAAATTTTACAATTTTTATTGTAGATTTTTCTTTTAAGATAGAGAGAGCCTCCAGTAATGTAATTAAAACACTACTAAGATAAGAAATAATGTGAATATTTTTGTATCTCTCCATGCAATACCAATTTTCAAAGCCACAATCAAATCAATTCATGAATGACATACAAATGCTCACCAAAAATTAATTTGCTTAGCATTATCAAATGCTATACAAAAGGTGTTTACTGTTTTCAGATTCATAACGAGTTTGTTTGTCACAGCATGAAAACACTGAAATGCATCTACTCAATTTGTGATCAAGGCCATGCAAAGACTCTACTTTGATTTTCTCAAACTCTGAGAATGAAACAACAGGATTACTTGCCTTACTTCTAATTTCTCATAAACTTTATTGGGCCCATACATTTAAACCATTTTGGGTAGAAAAGATTTAACCCCTGGATTCTGATGCTGCTCCATCAATTTTATTTGTACTTTTGATGTTCAATCTGGGCTGAACTGATTGACCGTAACCTCTGGAAAAGTGGTAGGTTGCTTTCTGCATCTTTTTTTTACCATTTTACTTTAAAAAAAAGTCTCATGTATGGCATGTTCATTCATCCCTCACAAATACCCCTACTCTCCCTTATCTTCTGTACCACCCTATTTTCCTGAACCAATTGTACAAGAGCCTCATCATGTTCTCATCATGTATGGCATGTACACTGCCACCTGCATACCCTTTGTACCCTTCTCCTAGTATAGCCCTTCAACAATATTACATTTCACATGTGTGAAAACTTGGGTTTAATCTGTGGTGCTGAGAAGAGGGTGGGGTCTGCGCAGTTATATATATAAAAGAAAACCTACAGTCAAAGAGATACAAGAAACCAGAGAAGGAAGTATCTCACTTTGATCACAGAGGATGGTACTAAGGCACTTCTTACACAATAAAAGTTAGAAGTAATGGCACAGCATTTTGCCCAGAAAATGGCTGTGGCAGAACCTGACAGATGCAGCCAATACTAACACTAGCTAAACTGACCAAAAAACTTTTTACTATGGTTTGTATAGCTTTTTATGAAATGATGCTTAAAAGAAGCCTGAAGTTTACTTTCAAAAGGCTGCATTTCCTCAATGGCTGCAGTCAGGGCCAAACAAGTGAACAAACAATTAGCATAAAGCATGAATAAATGTCAACCAGCATTTCCCAATCCAATTCACCATGACATAATCAAAGACATAATCTGATACAAGTGGATTAAGATCAGTATAAAACAAAAATAGTACCAATCAAAACAGAGGGTTAGTAATATTGTTCATATCCCCAGCTGAGGAAATAAAGCCAAAGCCAAAAATTATCAACCTGAAACACTGCCCTCTGCTGTCACCAAGACTTGAGGAAACAGCTAATTGGCTGATGTCCAAAAGCACACTCCATTAAATAAAAAATGGTTCGAATTCCATTACTCTAACCATGGCCAGTGTATGACTCTGACAGCTATGGTATAAGGTCCTTTGGATGAGTATGACACTACACCTTGATTGGGAAAATCTTTGAAATGTATATGTGAAACACTGCCCTCTGCTGTCACCAAGACTTGAGGAAACAGCTAATTGGCTGATGTCCAAAAGCACACTCCATTAAATAAAAAATGGTTCGAATTCCATTACTCTAACCATGGCCAGTGTATGACTCTGACAGCTATGGTATAAGGTCCTTTGGATGAGTATGACACAACACCTTGATTGGGAAAATCTTTGAAATTTATATGGATGAAACACTTCTCAATCTTTTCCATTACCATCTTAAAAATAAGTATCCAAAATTTCATCTTAAATGGTTAATGTAAATCAACACAACACATGCATATGGATTTTCTTTGTAAATGATTTGCTGCATGATGAGGCACATGCATTTGTTGACAACCCCCACCATGCATATGGATGAAGCAATGACAGCAATTCACATAAATACTAGACTGCAAAACCTCCTTCCAATAGATAAACAGTCAATCATGACAGACAGGCACCAGGAAATATTGGCATGATGTAAAGTAAAATTATCAACCTGAAACACTGCCCTCTGCTGTCACCAAGACTTGAGGAAACAGCTAATTGGCTGATGTCCAAAAGCACACTCCATTAAATAAAAAATGTTTCGAATTCCATTAATCTAACCATGGCCAGTGTATGACTCTGACAGCTATGGTATAAGGTCCTTTGGATGAGTATGACACAACACCTTGATTGGGAAAATCTTTGAAATTTATATGGATGAAACACTTCTCAATCTTTTCCATTACCATCTTAAAAATAAGTATCCAAAATTTCATCTTAAATGGTTAATGTAAATCAACACAACACATGCATATGGATTTTCTTTGTAAATGATTTGCTGCATGATGAGGCACATGCATTTGTTGACAACCCCCACCATGCATATGGATGAAGCAATGACAGCAATTCACATAAATACTAGACTGCAAAACCTCCTTCCAATAGATAAACAGTCAATCATGACAGACAGGCACCAGGAAATATTGGCATGATGTAAAGTAAAATTATCAATGGATGAGTATGACACAACACCTTGATTGGGAAAATCTTTTGAAATTTATATGGATGAAACACTTCTCAATCTTTTCCATTACCATCTTAAAAATAAGTATCCAAAATTTCATCTTAAATGGTTAATGTAAATCAACACAACACATGCATATGGATTTTCTTTGTAAATGATTTGCTGCATGATGAGGCACATGCATTTGTTGACAACCCCCACCATGCATATGGATGAAGCAATGACAGCAATTCACATAAATACTAGACTGCAAAACCTCCTTCCAATAGATAAACAGTCAATCATGACAGACAGGCACCAGGAAATATTGGCATGATGTAAAGTAAAATTATCAACCGTCATTAACCAGTCATTGGTTGACAATCCTGTTCTCACCACTAAATAAACAACCAATTAATATCTGAGAGTGCAAAAAATGGCTGAATGACAGAGGAAACCCTTAACTATTCCCGAGTGTAATGTGGCAAGACTGTCAAAAGAAAGAACTTGATGTATGTTTAGAAACTAGAAACATTTTCATATTTTGAAGGAAAAGACTACCATGCCTTTTTAAATGATCTGGAGGCTGGAAGTTCTTATAGGCAAGGTGCAACTAGTGGGCCCTTTGCTAGCCTTTAGACAAACCTCGCAACACCTCATGCCTTCATTCAACCTAAAGGTTATTTTGCTGTTTTATGCTCTTGATAGACTCTGCACTTGTATGGATGCTTAATCTTTTCAGTATAATCAGCTTGCATTTGGTTCTTTCATATTCTTTATTTGTTATCACAATACTGCTAAAGGTTGCAGGTCCATAACCAAATAGGCATGATAGCAGAGGAGTTGGTGAATCAATCTCATATCCAAGGTATTCTTTTCTATGTCCCTAATTGCAATGAATTGCCAATGTAACTATGCACCTGTTGTGTCTTCATCATCCTACTCCTTCACAAAGAAAGAAAGAAAGAAAGAAAGAAAAAACTTGCATACACTTGTGCTAATAAATGTGTCCTCACACTCCAAAATAATTATACTTTACACAGATGCATCTCATACATTTAACTGCACATGAAAACAGTCTATGATCCCATTCCTCCCAAACTCCCAACCTATCAAGTTGTAACTCCTGCAGCCCACAACCACTCCCAAGTGTTTTTGCTTGAACTTCATATCTCTCCTCACATCTGAGGGCATCAGTTCTTGGCAATGAGGAGTAGTGCTCACCTAGATGTTATCCTTCCAACCCCTTGTTTACTAACTTGCCATGCAGATGATTACATGACACTTGATTTGAATATAAGGAGAAACAACACAGGCTGCCATGGCACAGTCACACTTATCTGTCTCTCAAAAATACTCTGCCATTCAGCCCACCCTGGTCAGCCACCTGTAGGCCCTCCCTGTATTTACACTTCCCAGCTTCTGACTCTAAAGGGGAGGAGGATGGTTTGAAAGGGGAGGGAATAAGAAAGAGATTGAAAGAAAGAAAGGAAGAAAGGAAGAAAGAAAGAGAGACCGAAAGAGAGTGCACTTTCTTCCTTTTTTTTGTTTTTTGTTTTTTTGTTTCTCTTTTACTTAGGATATAAGGAATCTTGTATTAAGACTTGTCACACTGAGTGTGTAGGTGGACTTTTGCTCATGAAATTACAGTTCATTGTTATTTCAATCAAAACAAAAGACAAAACATATAAATGAATAATGAAAATGATATTAATAAAAATAACAATAACAATAATACTAATAACAATAATAATAATAACAATAACAAAAACAAAAATAACAGCAAACAAAAATGATACTAACAACAATAATAAAAATAGCAATAACAACCATAATAATAAAAACTAAAAGAGAGTCCACACTCACCTGAAGACAGCAAGGAGGGGATCATATATGCTGTCGCCATCGTAAACGTATAAATGGTCCCACGAGCATTCCGTGGCGAAATGATCGAGATGGAGACGGATTGAAGTATTTGGCTGACCTGCATCGATCAGCCACGCACACTGAGTGTCCGTCGAATAGTTCCCTGCACCATCCGTTATCACACTTGAGTTGGACCATAATCTGCGGAGAACAAGAACAGAAGATATAAATAGAATTGCAATTATTAAACTATAAACCACCAAATAATTTATGACATTCAGTTTCCTCTTCCTATTACATTGAAAAGAAAGGGGGGGGAGAGGGAGAGGGAGAGGGAGAGGGAGAGGAGAGGAGAGAGAGAAAGAGAGAGAGAGGGAGAGAGAGAGAGAGGGAGAGAGAGAGAGGAGAGAGGGAGGGAGGGAGGGAGAGGGAGAGAGAGAGAGAGAGAGAGGAGAGAGAGAGGGAGAGAGAGAGGGGAGAGAGAGAGAGAGGAGGAGGAGGAGAGAGAGAGAGAGGAGAGAGAGAGAGAGAGAGAGAGAGGGAGGGAGAGAGAGAGAGAGAGAGAGAGGGAGGGAGAGAGAGGAGAGAGAGAGAGAGAGGAGGAGGGAGAGAGAGAGAGAGAGAGAGAGAGAGAGAGAGAGAGAGAGAGAGAGAGAGAGAGAGAGAGAGAGAGAGCGAGAGAGAGAGAGACAGAAAACACTGTCAGAGATTTGAAAACAATGGAGGGCATGTTTTGCCAAGATGATACCTTCATGGCGGTTTATGTTGTAACAATATTTAGAATTGAGTACAGGAGATTGAGAATCAATTCATAAACAGATAAGCATTTACTTATATTGACAATAGTATGAATATTGCACCATGAATGCCTAAAAATGAGTAGGAATTATCCTCATTTCAAGCAAATTATAATTGTAAATAACTATCAAAAAACTCCATACAATAAATTATGCAATAAAACCCAGCAAATTGTCACAAATATTCAATGCGAAGGAACCATTATTAAATGAAACTATGACAACGACATGAATCATTTACCAAATTATCATTAAAAAAAATCTGTCGACTTTTAAATGCCTTTTGAAAAATAGTACTTCCCTTTTAACCTCTATAGCTTCAACTGTCCTATCAGACTAAACCAGAGATATCTTAAACTCCCTTCCTCCAACAGATATAATATGGGTAAAAAATACAGATACATCACCCCCCCCCCCCTTGAGATAATAACAAATACAAGGAAAATGTTATTATTTAGCAGATAAAGCATGAAATTCTAGTAACAGTATTACATATATATTATCTCCCACAAATGCTAACAGTGTAAATTTCATCTACATTTCTCTTATTTCCATTTAATTCATCTATGAAAATTAAGGATATTTTGTTATGATATCTATTTACAAGAATAATCTGCTATCACTTACAGGAATTGTACTAACCTAACCTGACATCCTCTTGGCGAGCAATGATCTCTCCTCCCTCTAGGTAATTTTTTTATAAGATATTATCAAATTTCTCTTTGCTAGAAATTCAGAAACAGCAAAAGCCACCATTTATTTCCCAGACTTTCAATTGTGAAAACAATACAATTTCCAACTCGGCTGTCAACCCTGGTTCAGCTCAAGTATTGTTCCATTGCTTCAAATTTAATTAGTACAGAAACCAGACCCTGCCATTAATAAAGAACGGTACCCTAATGCCTACTCGTCTGATAACATGTTCACTCTTATCTGGTACGCTGATAGGCCACGTTTCTTAACACAATGGAATTACAGAAATGAGGTCAATGACATGCTCTCTCTCTCTCTCTCTCTCTCTCTCTCTCTCTCTCTCTCTCTCTCTCTCTCTCTCACTTCTCAAACACAAACACACAAACACACACACACACACACACACACACACACACACACACACACACACACACACACACACACACACACACACACACACACACATGCACGCACGCACGCACACAAACACACACGTATGCATCCTCACACATGCACATGCATGCATGCACAAGCACACACACACCCCCAACCTTTTTCATTCTGTGGCCCTCGACCAATGTATAATAATCTCCATGCCCCCATTCAGTGACTGTCTTCTTTACAGATTCAGTTATTAATAGATATGAATTGTGTTGCGGTGCTGATAGCTTATAGAACAAGAACACTTTATGGAAAGATTCCAATTTCTTGATATGTGAGAGAGAATTATATGTAGGTACTGTATGTGAAATACAATTTAATTTATCAGCTTATTGCAAAGAAAATTGTTCAGAAGAGGCCCATGTGTGGACACAGTAAAATAATGCCTTGTAAAGCAAATAAAATGGCCGGCACTACAGGCACATATAAAAAAATAACAGTACATTCATTTACCAAAAAGGGCATCAGCTAAATTTACGTAATCACTACAGTAAAGAATAACAAAGTTCCACAATGTATCCCTTGGTAGAACAGAGATTGTAGACTTCCCTAACGCTTTATCATTAAAATGGTATTAGACAGTTCTCGTCAAAATATAACTGCAAGAAATCTATTATTCTTTGCTAGAGTACAAAGCACAAAGGCTACATCACACTCTTAATGTGGTCCTGTTCTGGGCAATTACTGTACGATGACCATGACCCCTGATTTCATAATACTTAATCCAAAATAGCATAGTCTTATAAAGAAAATATGACTATCTGGGGAGGGGGGAGAGTTATACGCATGGTTTGAATAAATTTCTCATTAAAACTCAATAATGTAACATGTTTGATTTAGAAAATCTACTTTGGAAATTGAACAGTACAAGCCTCCTGAAGCAACAAATTTCCTCATAAAACAGAAATAGTTTATAATTCCACAGACCGAAAAAGCAGTGCAGTTATTACAGAAATAAAACAAAGCTGACTGGTCTTTCTGAAAAATACATTTCTCTTTAAATGGTGTTTCAAGGTTATGTTGCATTACAAATAAAACATATTCTACTATTGTTTGAACTTCAGACATTAGTGACTTCTCAAGACAATGTCCTTTTATGGCACAGTTGTCACAAAATGAAAATGAAAAAAGTAGAAAGATAAATAAACCTTGTGATGGATAGTATCACACACTTGCTTCAGCCTGTAAATATGGTAAATTGAGGCAAATATTACTCACTTGAGCCAAAAAACTTTAGCCTGTACATCATGATAATACAGAACTTGACATGGTAATTTTTTGACAACTGCCAGGGAGGTCTGCAAACTGCACAACAATTTATGTCTTAGTTCATATACCAACATTTTTTTCTGTGCTGGAGCCTTGTCACAGAAAAAAAATCTTAAAACAATTTGATCTACTCATTCCAGTCTGTTCGAAATGAAGTAAGACCAGCTACGAACCCTAAGAATAGGTATGAACCAAAAAAATTCACATAAAATATAAAATATCTTTCAGAAAGGTAGGTAAAATATAAAATATCTTTCAGAAAGGTAGGTTCATCCAACTTTCTCTGGAAGGAATACTAAAATCTCTCTCTATAAGTCTCATACAGTATACGAACACACTTAGGTATTCCTAACTGGTTTGTGTGATAATTTCATAACTACTCTCAGCAAAGGCCAACAAATTTCAACAATGCACAGGATATTCTGGCAAGAGGGAGCTTGTAGACAGTCTAACATGGATCACAGTAAGTCGCAACTGCATATGGACAGAACACAAATAATATAATTACCAAATAAACTGGCCAACCTATATAGTTACCAAGAACTTTCCCTTCCTTCAAAAAGCAAACTTTCTCTTTGTTTTGACAAATGCTTGAAAAGGGAATGTCCGTCACTAGTCTCAAACAAACCAGCTGAACATTGGCACTCCCGCAAAAGCTAAAAAAAACAAAAAAACTTGACCATGTACACTTTGAGGTGATTGAATACCTCCCTGACATCTCATCACAAAAGAAATCAGTCCTAAGTCTGTTTCACCAGAATAAATATTGCAGAGATTAATACCACATGCTGGAAGGCCAAATGCAAAAGTCGCATGGATCACCTAACAATACGCCACTCTCACACTGGATTTACAATTGCAAGTGGTCCAATAGAGATCTAGCAAATATTAAGTGGATAGGGAAGAACACAAGCCATGTGAAAGAGAGGAAAAGAGAGAGAGAGAGAGAGAGAGAGAGATAAAATGAAAGGAACTATTGGAGTCTTGTATATGTATACCTTAGTTTGAGGTATGATATCCCTTCTTTTAGTTCATTTCCCTGAATCTTTAAAGGCAAACTTTTACCAAGAACATTCTGTTACATAAGGTCTTCAGATTGTGATGTGCCAAAGTTTTGGGAACATTACAAAAACCACTCAATACCTAATTAGTATTACAAATGTTTTATACTTCATACACTTATATATGATAAACCAATATCCAAAAAACAATAAACAATACCTATAAAAAAAATAAAATAAAATAATTTTTTTTCAACCAAGTACAAACAAACAGAAGTTATCTACCCAACCGAAGTCATATCATGCATGGTCTTAATTTCCATAAATAACGATCAAAATTCTAATTAATGAACATCTCCCTAGAGAAAGTTACCACTAAGCCAGCTCCATCTCCCCAACAGAAATTTTATCATACGAGGTACAAGGAAATTCTCAATGCTTTAAAAACCTCACATTACACCGACTCGATCAATACGAAAAAGAAATGATCTAACTGACGTAACAATTTATCAAGCTTTTATACCTCTTCTAAATATAGATTATATTTACTGCTATAAATCATTTTTCTATTACACATCATTAAACAAGGGTAATTCTTTACAATATGGACAAATTCACCAGAGACTAAATCACACATCACAAAATCTATTCAATAGTATTAACTGCTGTGACTGGGTGTGTCCTTGATGAGTGGTTGAGCCTTCTGTTCACCTTAGTATGAACAGCAAGGCCGAGCTCAAACTTTCCTTTATTTGTGGCGCTACCGTTCTTTCTGCAGATTATTTCTTGTACCAATAACTGTATCTTTTTGCCCTCTACAAGAATATCATCTTCAATTTGTACTAGTTTAGTCCATACTGTGATATCATATGCTACTATAGATAGTACATTATCATTAACAACCCATTGGTCTATTATATCGCAACATTACCACACATTCCTAAACATTCAATTACATGTTCAGATATTACGAATATTCTGAAATTCTCACCCAAAATATCATAATATTGATTTATATCACTACCTATTATATCATCATTATCCTCATTAATCGTCACAATATTGAGTGTTATGTCTACCTAGTACACTGTCATCGTCGTCATTAATCATCATAACATTACCACACACTCCTACACATTCCGGTCACTACCTACCATCCAGTCCTCCTTTTGGGATAAACAAATAAATCACAAATCTGCAAATTTACAAAATAAAAGTGTAACTAAGTCGCACAAATCCTCTCCCTTCCATGCACGATCAGCCGAGTGGTGTTACCTCCCTTGCAACTCCCCCCCCACTGACAAGCGACATCGGAACACCGGCGGGAATTCTTACCGGAGACGTGGAACAGAAATCCTAAATGGGAGAGAAAAGAGGAGAGCCGACCCTCATTAGAAATCCCCTCACACACACACACACAACCCCCTCCCCTAAAAAAAAAAAAAATTCCTAGTTTTTCTCCACAACTGAGTTTAATTCCCCCTTCCCCCCTCCCCCCCACAACCTACCCTATGGAAAGGACCTACAGCCCATCCCTAGAACAACGAAGGAACCCCACGGACAACATGAGCTCCTTCCTAACATATTGACTTATCGATGGGGTTATTTGTCACCCTGGTTCCTCCCTTAAGACCTCCCCCGGGCCCTAAGGGAGGCAGAGGGGGTGCTATTCTCCCTTGCCTCGGGTACCAGGGTGTTCCTTCTCCCTCGAGGCGGAGGAGGAGACCAAAGGACCCGAGAAAAGGGGGCGAAAAAAAGGCGAGAAAAACCTAACAGGGTCAAAGCCACTCGAGGACGAGGCGGAGGGGGGGGAAATCCCGAGGTTTTCGTCGCCTTTCTAAAACCCTTTTTTGGGCTCGCTGCTCGCTAAATACCTCGTGGGTGGCCGGGGTGCTCTCGTGCCCTATGCCCCAGCGAGCCCCTCAAGTGCCCAGGACCCCGACAGAGCGAAAACAAGCCCCGAAACGGAGCCAAGAAGATACTCACCTCACCCTTCCTTCGCACCACTGGCAGAGGGGACCCTTCCAGCCCACGTCACAAACACACTTATTATCCTCACACCGCCCATTCTGGCACGGTAAATTGCACTCCTGTCCTTCCGCTGACACCCACAAATAACTGAACACCACTAACACTACGACTAAGGTCCTCTGTCGCGCTAATTTCCTCAAAAACTTGGACTTGAACTGGAATTTCAAGAGATCCGCAGCCATCTTGCGACTGCCATT